TGTGTGTGTGTGTGTGTACAGTCATTAACTTTATTGTGTTTTATGTTAATTTTCTTACAGACACTAAAGTGATTTAACTGTGGCTTCCATATAATACTGAATAATATATATTATATAATTATACTCGTGTATGAACGTACAGTGTATGTGAGTCTGCTGATCACACTCTTATACTTATTGATCGGTTTATCAATCGGTCTCTGTGGTCCATGTTCTTCTGATATTCCCAGAATGAGCTCCCTGTGGTTTACTATGGAAGCTCATTAGTGCCAATGTGGTGAACAAAATAAAAATAATCATTCATTATAATAACAAACATTCCCCAAAAAAATGACGTAGTTTCTTTATTATTCTAAGAAAATGTCTCATTGTAAAGGATCTTTTCTTCCCCATCACATTGGCAGAACTGGGCTTCCGTAGTTTACAGTTAATTACACTCGACGAGATTTAATCTTAATACAACCTCCCTGTGGCACATTGTACTTATTGGCCAGTTTATTTTACTTTATTACACTTTAATCTGCTGACGTGTGGATGTGATACAGTGAGAGTGTCTGTGGACGTCCACAGGAAGTTCTGTAATTGAATCTGTGATATTGTGGCTCTGGGGGCTTCGGCGTGTCTGCGGTGAGTTTATAGTGATTGCTGTACTTTATGTTTTCTATGAGCTGTTACTCTCCTTTGTATCGGGAGCGTACGGTGGCTTTATTGTGGTATCCGTCCCTGTGGTAGCGTCTCTCCTGTCTCCGTATAGAGTTTCAGTGTGTCGGTGCTGATTTACGTTTGTGTTTGTGGAGTTTGATCTCCTCCCGTATCGCCTTTAATGCTCCTATAGGGACGCTCGCTGCTTTAGGGAGGCTTTGTTAGGTTTTATGGTAACTTCTATTGTATCTCTGCAGACTAATATTCCTCTTATATCCCTGTAAATGTGTTTATAGAGTGTTTCTGCTTCTCAGGTGTGACTTTATGATTCTTTATTGTGTTTTAAAATCCTCACAACGTCTGTTTAAAGTTCCCCCGCAGCTTCCGCTCGGTATTTCTGTGGAATCTCATCATATCCATGTGTGTAAATATCATCTGAAAGCTCCAGCAGTTGTTCAAACATCACCATATTTATTTATTGATGTGTATAGTGTAGTATAGTGTAGTATAGTGTGTGGATGTCACATAGGGGGCGCTGTTAACTGGCTCCAATCACCTGCAGCCTCACACTGAAACCTGTGAAGCAACCAAATGGATATTTTCACTTTTTCCACACAAATATTTATAATTTTCTCTCATTTATGTGGCAGAAAACCTCAAACTGCACTAAAATACGTCTAATTATTAT